GAGGTGATGTTTGATATGACAGATTTTCATTGTCTTTTATGATACAAGTGTCTTCAGCATTTTCCATTAGCCAATAAGTTGCGGGTGACAATTCACATGTCTTGTTCTGAGTAAACAATAAAGATGGTTTTGTACCAAATATCTGTGCTTAGGATTTTTGCATCACACATTGGTCGTGAGTTTGATTTGTTCGCAAAGTATTTCCAGTGGAGCCCATGTTATCTGTATGATTTATAGCTTACATATTATAAATCACCCTACCCGAATGTTACAAAGAAAAAAATTCCTTAATGTGTTGGTGCAGTAAAGAGTGTTTGAATTCAAGCTTTTAAAATTGTCAAATTAACACTTGAAAATATGCACCTTTGAACTTAAGATACATGTGTTGTATCTGGAACAAAGTGATCTTTGCATTGAAATGGTAAAAGCTGTAATCTTTTAAGTTGCCAAAAGTTTATTAGACTTCTACTGTTGAATCATAGAGGGCTGTGTATTCCATTGTTGCTTTGATTGGCAGCAGGATATATCATTTAATGGTGAATTATAAGCAAGCTTATCATGAAAATGAACAAGTTTCCTGGCAGTTAATATTCTGCTGATTTGTTAGCAAAATGAAATTATTTTTTATTGTATATGAACTTATGTAATCATACCTTGATTTATTTGCATCATTAAAAAAATTCTAAATGTGTTTAATGATAAGAATCAATAAAATAATAATAACAAGATGGAAGCTAAGTTGAATCCACCCACTTTATGGTAATGGGAAGATTCTGTGAAAGAGGAAATGGGTAAGTGTTTCCAAGAATATTTCTCTACTATAACATTTCATTCACGAGACACTAGTTTTATGGACATACAATACTACATTGTCTATATGATGAACTTATGTGCATTTGGTTTGTGTTGAGTTTTGGACAATAAGGCATTTTGTTTCCTTACAGTATTACTATTTTGCTTTACAAAAATGTTTCAGAAAATGAATTTAGAGTATTTTACTAATGAATATAAAATAGGGAATGTATGTGAAAATAAAATCTCACTGGAAAGTTTTTTGTTTTTATTTGAAGATCATAATGAACAATATTTTAATTCCATAACAATGTTGAAAATATGGTGGAAAACAGCACTAATTTTACCAGTATTATTTTACATAAGCATAACTTTTTCTTTGTGCCTAGTAAATGTCCAAGCATCTTTTCATTCATTTTTTTTGTTGCTTTAAAACAAGCTAGTGTATAAAGATTTGCAATAATTTGAATTAATAT